AATTTTCTATCACCCACTTCTTCCCAATAGATCGGCGATATGCATGGACGACCATACACGCATCATACAGAGCCATGCTATATTTCCTTTATAGCTATTATTGTAGCGAACTCTATTATGGTAAATGATCATCCCATGGCCCCGAAGTCAGAACACAAACTCGAAGTATATCTCAGTGTGCAGATGTCTTTCTAATTGTCTATCGATTTGAGGGTGGAATGCAGTACTAATGGATAATTTCATTCCCATGGCTTACTGAAAACTAGACTAGAATTGAGAAGTGAACCTAGAGTCCCTGTCGAACACTATTGTCACTGATACTCCATGTAACCTGACTATCTCCTGGATATACATTCTTGCTAACTTATCCAAGAGGTCGATCATCATAATAGCTAAAAAGTGGAAAGACTTGGTGAGTCGGTCAACAATTACCCAAATGGCATCATGTCCTGAGCGTGCCTTAGGCAATCCTGTCACGAAATCTATTGTGATATGTTCCCACTTCTACTCTAGAATTGGTAATAGCTGAAGTAGCCCGCCTAGGTATTGATGCTCTTCCTCGACTTGCTGACATACCAAACACTTGATAACAAAGTTGGTCACATCTCTTTTCATCTCGTTTCACCAAAATCGAGGTTGCATACTTTGATACATCTTAGTACTTCTGGGATGTATGATAAACTTTGAGCTATAAGCCTCTACCATGATGTCCCTTTTTAGCTCACTGTCACCTAAAACACACACCCTGTCCTAAAATCTAAGCAACCCATCAGCAAAGACTCGAAATTCTGAATTAACTTCCTGTTCTACATCTTTCTTGAGGACTACTAAGGTGGAATCGGCGGACTGAGCTTCCTTTATTCTCTGGATCAACTCGGGTTAAACAGTCAGGTGGGTCAAACAAGTGACTCTCTTCAAGTCCTAAAGTTGTACCTGTTATGTGACTCCTATTACACTGCATTCTAAAACCATCAAGTGAGCTAATATACCTGTACTTTTTTTGCTGAGTGTATCGGCTACCACATTGCCCTTACCCGGGTGATATAAGATGTCGTAATTGTAGTCATTGAGAAGTTTTATCCATATTCTCTGACGCATTTTGAGATCCTTTTAAGTGAATATGTGTTCAAGCTCTTATGATCGGTATAGATATGAAAGGTCTCCCCATACAAGTAATGACACGAAGTCTTCAAGGCGTGGATAATCATGGTAAGTTCTAAGTCATGGGTGGGGTAGTTTTTCTCATGATTCTTCAACTGCTTGGACCCATAAGCTATGACCTTTCCATGCTGCATCAGGACACAACCCAACCCCAGGTAGGAGGCATCACTATAAACTGTAGATCCACCTGTCCCGCTAGACAAGACAAACACCGTTGCGGTTGGGGCATCAGGCTATACTGTGGTGGTGCCGGGTGGTACTGTGGTTGGAGCACCGGATTATATTGTGGAGGTATTGGATGGTACTGCGGAGGAACAGGGTCGTACTGGGGTGGGTCGGGATCCTTCCGCTACAGGGGTGGCTCAACCTGTGGCACCAAGGGAGGATCAGGTAGCTCCCTTCTTTCCTCCTGGGCCTGCTGGACAGCGATGAGTCTCTCCAGCATTTCAAATAGCCGGTCAACATCCTCTTAAAGCGAACCGTCCGGGTCTGCTCAATTTAGTGGGGGTCTTTCTTCCCTCATCTATCTGTACTTGCATTTCACAAGGAACAGTTGAATGATAATTCATAGTTTTTAGTGTTTTCTAAGGATTTTGTGTAAGGAATAGTTCCGAAGAACGCGAATCTGATACTAACTGTAACAGACCGTGAACTTGAAAGGAAATAAATTATGAATTGAATGCAGAAGTGAAATAAATAGTTAGAGTTTACACTCCTTACACAATAATTCAGATTGCCCAATAAGGTAACGAGAATGACTCCTTTAAATGAAATAACAAAAATCAAAGAAATAAATAGAAAATAAACAATTGAGTATTCTACTCGCAACTCTCTTGTAGATCAGGCTCTAGATCTTGGTCATTTTGATCTGAAATGATTAATGAAAGAGTGAAATACACTAGCTCAGTAAGAATATTATGCTACTCGCTGATACAAAAATGAAGGTTGGTAAAAATCATAAAAATAACTAATGAAGCTCTTAATTTAAGTAAATTCGTTTATCATAAATAAAATCATCTACCGCATACTTACCGTAGTGAGATTTCCAAAAACCAACCTATAAAGTCAATAACATAAACAATATCATAATCTCATGTGCAATCAGTCGACAACAACAACTTTCTCTTGTATCAGCCTACCCATGGGGGTCCATATGAATTCATATTTTCAATTAACGGGCCGTCACCATACCCCGTCCGATAGGAGCATCAAAATATCATTCCTCAGTACCCCATCTGGCATGAGGGTGAAGCGGGCCGTCCCTGTACCCCGTGCGATACGAGTGCCAAAATACTAATCTTCGATACCCCATCCGGTATGAGACAACGTTCACAGTAGAATTTTCTATGTACCCAGTCCGTCCACCATCTCCTAGGATATCTAGTAAGACTACTATTCATCCATTTACTTAATCAAACAATTTTCAGTTTTCCACTTTAATCGTAATTACACAAAACAAGCAATATATGCATTAAGGAAACACAATCGCATCATTATACCAATTTCAGTATATTATCATGCATTTGAAAATTATAAAATTAAACAATCAGCTAAACACGACAAACAGTAATAAATAACCAGTTCCGGCTCCATTAGTGACTTGTAATTAATTATGGATATTTTGTAAACTGCACAAATACCGTATTATTATTAATTAAACTTCAATTCCATAACAAGGAATAAGGTAAGGGATTCTTATCCGAACGTTAAACTCTTGGCTGCGCCTATTGGCGGTCCTAGAATTTCTTGAATTTTTATTCGATGATTAAAACACGCTCCAAGTACCTAAATATACCCCAAAAAGCCTAAAATCAATGTTAGAAATCCTTTTTAGCCAATTTTAGAATTCCGGCACGGCGGATCCTCTGTGCTCCAGCAACGGCACTACCACCTGCAGCGGCGGTTTGCTTCAGGTTTTTGGTTTTCGGCCGATTTTGTACCCATCCCTGCGAAAAAATACGTTAAGAGGCCTCAGTTGGCCAAAAAAAGTCGAAAAATTGAAGCTTACCGTTGGTAGAGTTTTTTGGTGCAACGGCTCTGCCGACTCACCTTCGCGGTTGGGTGTTTTACTTCGGTCAACCTGTAGAGAAAGGAATGGTAATTACAATGGTAGAAAAAATTACACGAAACGGAAATCAGAAAGAGCCTCATCAGAGGCAATTTTTACTTTTTTCGGCGGCAGCAGCGCCGGGCTTTGCCCGCAATGTTCGGTTCATCTGTCGGTCATTTTGCTCTGATTTGGCTATGAAGGTGTTCAAAATTGAATTTCAAGTGAATAAAATTTTTTTTACCTCTTTTGGAGGTTAAAAGTGGCTCCGACGCAACGACAAGCAGTGGTCGACTCCCTTTCCGGCAACTGGCTCTTCTTCTCCGGTGGGGGGTCTGGCAGATAGGATTAGGGTTTGGTGTGAAACTGGTTATTTATATCCGTTTTTTTTAATATGGACCATCCATCGCATTTGATCTGAACCGTCCAATCGCCTTTAAATAGGAAGTAGATTTGCACTGTCCGATCGTATTTTAAAGGGATAACGAATCTGTACCGTCCGATCGCAGGTACGTGGATCGCCAACATGGCTCCCTGGGTGGCATTGCGTCAGCGTGCCTTGCCACGCGATGCGCTCTAGTTCGTCGATGGCTGTTGATTGGGCGTCATACGTGTCACATTTTTCTTTTTACGTTTTAACTCTCAGTTTTCGATTTTTCTTTCAAAAATATATCTAGAACCCAAAATTTCACCTTTTTTTTTCTAACATTATTTTCAATTCCATCATTCACATATTTTTATTTTATTTTTATATTAAATAATAAATTCAAAAACTAAAAAATTATATTTATACATTAATTTTAATATAATTAAAATAAATTAAGGATATTACAACACAAGTTTTAAATGACAATGACTTAAACACCCACTTAATTGATAGCTTTTTTTAATCCTCTAAAGATGATTAATGCGATATAAATTTAAAAAATAGTTAACTTAAAATAAACAAATCAAAATGCTCATAAAATATTTGAAAATAGAGTGTTAAATATTGTAAAATTATTGAAAAAAATTAAAATTTCATGATCATCTGAATCTTAATTTATGATAAAAAAAAATTTAAATTTTAATTCTTATATTAATTAAAATTCATATCATGAAGGATAATAAAATTAAAATTTTTATAAGAAAACAAAAGTTATAAAAGACAAAATTTAATATCATAATCTTTTTAGACTCTTCTAATATTATAAATTAAAATTGCAAGAATGTTCCAAATTTTTTAGTTTACAAAAATTGCGTATTTTGTTGTAATCCCCACATGTCTCCTGACTTATTATTATTATTTTTTAATTTTAATTAGACAGCAAAGTTTACCATGTCTGGATCTTGACACATGTAAGCATCAAATTATATTTATACTTCATTCTAAATTATTATTAAAAAAAATATTTGTGATATTGTAAATTAATTACATATCAAGGACCATATTTCTATTAAAAATGGTGAGAATAGACGATTAAATTATAGAAGTGTTATTAAAAAATTATGTTAAAAAATAAAAAATTAATATTATCAACTTAATTAAGATAGAAAATCCTTTTTTAATTAAATTATTTGTACTTTTACTTTTTTTTATGTTAACGTAAATTTCAATATTAAATTGTAGCTGATGCAATTAATTTTTATTGAATATGTCGAATTTATCAATTTTTAAATGTATTATTGTTTAATAAAAATTTATAATATTTAATTTACTAAATTCGATAATTTAACCTACTTGGTTTAAATTCCTTTAATTATTTTAAATCCCATACACCATCCCTTTCAAAAATCCACAAACAAGACCCAACCCATCTCCATCATCCTCTTCTCTGCCACACTGTACACTGTACCCACTTCCATCTTCCACCACACACTCACCCCCTTCTCTTTAAACTCCCTCGCTCTCACCTCCCATCCAAATTTACTTCTTCTTCCCCTTCAAATGGCTCTGCTTCTCTTCTGGGTTTTCGCTATTCTCTCTTCTTCTTCCCCCTCTTCTTCTTCTTCCGCCAACGACGAAAAGATCCTTACCTTCATCGTCACAGTTCAGCACGATGCAAAGCCCACCATTTTCCCTACTCACAAGCACTGGTACGAGTCCTCTCTCGCTTCACTTCAACCTACATCCACCTCTTCTTCATCTTCCTCACCACCCACCCGCATCATCCACACTTACGACACCGTTTTCCATGGCTTCTCCGCCCGCCTCTCCGCCCAAGAAGCGCAGAAGCTCCGAGACCTCCCCCACATCATCGCTGTCATCCCAGAGCAAGTCCGGCGCCTACACACAACGCGCTCCCCCCAGTTCCTCGGCTTGAAGACCACCGACAACGCCGGTCTCCTCAAGGAATCTGACTTCGGGTCGGATCTCGTCATCGCGGTTATCGACACGGGTATCTGGCCCGAGAGACAGAGCTTCAATGACCGGGACCTTGGTCCAATACCCGCTAAATGGAAAGGCCAATGCATAAGCACTAAAGATTTCCCCTTAACTTCCTGCAACAAAAAGCTTATTGGTGCGAGATTTTTCTGCAATGGCTACGAGGCGACGAACGGGAAGATGAACGAGACAACAGAGTATCGCTCCCCTCGTGATTCCGACGGCCACGGCACCCATACCGCTTCTATCGCCGCCGGAAGGTACGTCTTTCCTGCCTCAACTCTTGGATACGCTCGCGGTGTCGCAGCCGGAATGGCCCCGAAAGCCCGACTCGCGGCTTACAAGGTGTGCTGGAATTCCGGCTGCTACGACTCTGATATTTTAGCCGCTTTTGACGCCGCCGTCGCCGACGGCGTCGATGTTATTTCCTTGAGTGTGGGTGGAGTTGTGGTGCCGTATTACTTAGACGCCATTGCGATTGGCGCTTTCGGAGCCATTGATCGCGGGATTTTCGTTTCTTCCTCCGGTGGCAATGGCGGACCCGGTGGGTTAACAGTGACGAACATTGCGCCTTGGATGACGACAGTTGGTGCTGGGACCATCGATAGGGATTTTCCCGCCGATGTTAAACTTGGAAACGGCAAGATCATACCGGGTGTAAGTATATACGGAGGACCCGGGTTAACTCCGGGTCGGTTGTACCCGTTGGTTTACGCAGGAAGCGAAGGTGGCGGTGATGGCTACTCGTCATCTCTATGCCTGGAAGGTTCTTTAGATCCCAAATTCGTGAAAGGGAAAATAGTTTTGTGTGATAGGGGAATCAATTCAAGAGCTGCAAAAGGCGATGTGGTGAAGAAAGCCGGAGGGGTCGGGATGATTTTAGCGAATGGGGTTTTTGATGGTGAGGGTTTAGTTGCAGACTGCCATGTCTTGCCGGCTACGGCGGTGGGAGCTTCCGGTGGTGATGAGATAAGAAAATACATAACAGTAGCTTCGAAATCCCGATCACCACCTGCTGCAACGATAATATTCAAAGGAACCCGATTGAAGATCCGACCCGCTCCGGTTGTAGCTTCCTTCTCCGCCCGAGGACCTAACCCTGAAACTCCTGAGATTCTAAAACCAGACGTGATAGCTCCTGGATTGAATATTCTTGCTGCTTGGCCTGATAAAGTTGGTCCATCAGGAGTTCCGACTGATAAACGAAGAACAGAGTTCAATATTCTTTCCGGTACTTCCATGGCGTGTCCTCATGTTTCAGGCCTTGCTGCTCTGTTAAAAGCAGCTCACCCAGAATGGAGCCCGGCGGCGATCCGATCTGCCCTAATGACAACTGCTTATACAGTTGATAACAGAGGGGAAACCATGATTGATGAGTCTACTGGAAATGCTTCAACTGTGATGGATTTCGGAGCGGGTCATGTTCACCCTACAAAAGCTATGGATCCTGGTTTAATCTATGATATAACTTCGTATGATTATATTGACTTCTTATGCAATTCAAATTACACCATTAACAACATTCAAGTTATAACCAGAAGGAAAGCAGATTGTAATGGGGCTAAGAGGGCTGGCCATGTTGGAAACTTGAATTACCCTTCATTGTCAGCTGTGTTTCAGCAGTATGGCAGGGAGAAGATGTCGACTCATTTTATCCGGCAAGTGACAAATGTTGGGGACCCGCATTCAGCCTATAATGTCACCATTAGAGCTCCAAGAGGGACCCTTGTGACAGTCAAGCCAGAAAGGCTTGCATTTAGGAGGGTTGGCCAGAAGCTGAATTTCCTTGTTAGGGTTGAAGCCACAGCCGTTAAGCTCGCACCCGGAGCTTCGAGTGTTCATAGTGGTTCGATCGAATGGACAGATGGGAAACACATTGTGAATAGTCCGTTGGTGGTTACCATGCAGCAACCTCTGTAAGATAAGTGTAAAAGTTTTGGGTTTTGGTTTTTCCATCTTTTTAAATTTTGGGTTCCTCGTTATATAGGACTACAAGCTATATATCTCTTGATATGTGATGATCATCTCTATATGTATAAGTAGAGAATATGTTGATGTTGATGTTGATGTTGATGTTGGGGATGAGGTTTTCTATATCAGAAACCCCAGTAATGGAGTTGTCTTGTATTATATTTTATGGTTAATTTGATTAAGGAAAGGAAGGAAAAATGTTGTATGTTTTGTTGTATGAAGAATGAAGAATACGTTTCTTTTTTGCAGAAATTTTGTTGTGGGTTGAGAAGATGGACCAAGGATAATGGAGAAATTTTCTCATTCTTATGTTGAATTTGTGGGTTAATCTTGATTTGTTGAACTATCAACTTAAACTTGACTTGTTTAGTGGGGTGTAATCTTGTACTAAGTGCCAGACGCTGAAGCTTCTATATTTGAAAAGTGCTTTGCTACCAAATAGCTTCCGACTAAAAATGTTTAACAACATTTTTAAATTTACAGTGGAAGATACAGTCATAGCCAAAAAGCAAACCTAAAAGAGTCTTTGGTTGGGATCTTGGCATCAAAGACAAAATGGTAAATGACAAGGAATAAGACAGAGAAAATCAGATGGGGCAACTTTATGCTACCAATAATGGTGTGTGTTGATTTTTGTTTGTTTTGTATCTTCTGGACATGCATTATTGATTATCCCTCCGTGGGATGCAAGTGTGTTTATCCCCAATATATATATATATATATGAACTGATAAAATCTAATTTAACCCAAAATTAGACATGTTGATTGGCTCAAGCATAATACAGATAGATTGGTCTTTAACGAGTCTGGTGGGGTTACTACTAGTGTTCTCATTTGTGACAATCATGGGCGCTGAGTTACAGGTTTCATGTGCAATCCTGGTCATAACCGTCTAATGGTTATTGCTGAGTTTGTTGCTAATGCAGGGTCGTCGAAATTCATTAGCTTATTATCGCTCAAATCCTCTAGTGTCATTGTAAGATTGATCAGTTTGTCTCTATGATTGACAAACTAGATGAGGGATCTTCTCCATTGCGATTGGGAGATGTGTATTTCTCATATTTTCTGAGAGGCAAACTTGTGCATTGATCATCTCGCTAGAAGGGCACAACACATTACCGAGAGCACTGTCAACCTATCTCAAGCTTCGAACTATCTAATTTAATCATGTGAACAACTAACTTAATCATGGGAGTTCGCAACATTGATTATTGATGGTGAGGCTGGAAAAGTTAATTAGATGAAGAAATAGAAGCTTAATTGGTAGAAATGGAGTTAGATTTCTGTGGCGTTCATCAAGGCATGATTGCTCCGCATATATATTACTTTACAGCGACGATCCCAAGCAGCCAAACAGGAACGCGGTTTCTTTATCTGTTCTCTTGGGTCATGACTCGTCGTCTTTCCTTTTTTTTTTTTTGTTGCATGGAAAATTCTCTGGCCTCACAATGCCATGATTGTATCTATTAAACATAGAAAAAGAATGGCACTACTTAAAAAACTTTTCCAATCTAAAGATTATGATCAAACATAATAGGCATAGATGGGTGTGTGTGTGTATACATATACATATTATTTATGCGCATATAGGTCTAGAGCTCTTAATTCGCCTACTAATCCCCCAAGAGCACATGAAAATTTTTAATTTTTAATTTTTAATTGGTTTGTTTCACATTTATATGTAATTTAATTATTTATTAGTTAGATAGTACGTCTACATTAATCGTAATATAATAGAAACTCTAAATATTGATAAAATACAGGAGAACAATTCACTTAATCGTATAATTTCTCTGTAGAAAATACAACCTTAACTTTTTAAGTATGTCATTATTTTTTCCACCTTTATTTGAGGTTCAAAAGTAAATAAATATTATATGTTATACTTCAAAAAAATGTTATTTTTATTAAAAGAATAATATTTAAATTACATTCAAATGATTATATGCCAAATTGTTTTGGGCCTTATCGATTAGTTTATGAGAAATTGGGCCCAAGATAAAACAATAATGGACTCAAAAACGATTATTTTGGCCTACCCAACTCCACTAACTACTAAGTACTGAATACATGGAAATTATTTTTTAATTAAAAAGTTGTGCATAAATTTATAGAATTATTCTCCTAATTTAAATATAATAATAATTACAAAAATATTTCATAATTAGGAATATATTAATTAACCGTAGTAAGTTAATTTCATAATTACCTTAAACGACATTATACTATCACACACTTACCTAACATGGGTGTTGCCGTATTGCTAATTTTGTTAAAAATACAATTATAAATTAGACTTTTGTAATTAAGCAACATAAGTTTTTTTTTGTATATATTAACTTTGGTTTAATTTTAACCATGTTAGTGATTCCATATATATATATTTTTTTTAAAATTTTTGGTTGATTAACTGAGATTTACCAATGAATCATGTTCTTAA